TTATATTATATTATATTATATTATATTATATTATATTATATTATATTTATATATATATATATATATATTATTTGAGTGACCCAGATAAAGTGTGCAAAACTTTCCATAATCTTCTTTCTTATTCTGCAGCTATCTCTCTTTTTCATTATTATTCTACTTTAAAGCATTTTAAGGCAGTAGAAAAAAGAAAACATGCCAGATATTATTTGCATTTTATTTTACATATTCAGTTTCTGTAGCTGCCCATCTCAGCCAAGTACTCTGGGGCAACTACAATCTTTCCACCTGCAAGACAATCCAGCTAATAAAATAGGTCTGTTCTGGTTAGCCATGTTTATTTACTTATAAACACAGAATTATTTTAATCCAGTATCACTTTTATAAGATAAAAGTGTGCAAATAAGAACTCCAGTTCCAGATTTGACCTGTGACTACCAATCTTCCAAGGAAGACTGAGATGAAAAATAGTGACTGAACCACCAGTAAATTTTCCCCAGTATTCTTCCTCCCTTTAGCCTGAGTATGTTGCTTAAGAGAAAAATTAATCCTGGCGATGAAAAGGTTTTTACCTACTCAGAGTATTTTAGGAAGGGAGCCTCAAATAATTTGCACCTGCAGGAACACCTTTCCTTCCATTCCATTCTCTTCTCTTTCCCGGTCCCTTCATTCCCAATTTAAATCCTACATCTGTCCATCTTTTCTCACCCTTTTTGGAGAGAACTCTTGAAATAATTTTTGCATTAATTTTTTTGTTTGCATTAAAATCTGCAAGAAATATGGATTGTTCACCATACGTTTTTAACCTTTAACATTCACCACCTACGTCTTACACCTTTTTAACAAGAGCAAAATGGCAAGCCAGGAGCTGAATTGTGGCAGGTAAAAATTCTGACCTCTGTGGATGCTAGATCACATGGTATGCAAAGTTGAAGAAACAATGGTTTGGTTTTTTTTAACCTTAATCTCTTGTGGAACTCCTAGAAATTGTTCACAGAAAACAAGAGCCATTCTATACATCTGATGAAGTGATGAGCTGCAACTCACGAAAACATATACCTTTTAATAAAATCAATTAGTTGAGAAAAGTTTTGTCAGATGCCTAAAGTTTTGCACATTTACTACCCATTTCTAAGATCAGGACAAGCAGATTCTTTTCATCAAATCAAGAAAACTAATTCTTTTTTCATCAAGACTGGCTTCAAAGATTTCACGCAGTCTATTATGAAATTTTTGCAAGAATCAATTTTCTGCAATAGATATACCAACGTTTCTCTGTTTTAACAGGTGTGACTTCTTTCTCCATCATCATTGGCCTATATTTCTTTTCCATAAGTTGAAGAAGGTGAGAGAATTTTTAAAAGGGAGGGAGAAAGAGAAGAAAAACAGAAAAGCCAGAAATTGCACTGATCCATCTGGCAATTTAACAGAGCATATTCCACTGCATTCCAGTCTGAAGGGTAAGCCAGCTCTGTACTGAAAGAGGAAAAAAAAGAACTAACATAAAACTGAAATAAAAAAAATCACCAAGAAGTTCCAGATTGGCCACTGGGCAGCACTAATTCCAGAAAAATTAATCAATTGCTGAATTGCAAAGGCACAGCAAATTTGGCAAAACATGTTTGGCAAATTTGGCAAAATTTGGCAAATTTGGCAAAACAAAGCCATGTTTTCTCTCTCCTCTAATTATTTCAAAATTGATAGACATCACATTACTAATCTAAAAGCTGGAAGATGTGGGCCCCAAAACAGCCCCCTCTACATAAGGTAAAGGTTCCCTTGCATATATGTGCTAGTCGTTTCTGGTTCTAGGGAGCAGTGCTCATCTCTGTTACAAAGCTGAAGAACCAACACTGTCCGAAGACGTCTCCATGGTCATGTGGCCAGCATGATTAAATGCTGAATGTGCAAGGAAGGCTGTTACCTTCCCACCAAAGTGCTCCCTATTTTTCTACTTGCATTTTTACATGCTTTCAAACTGCTAGGTTGGCAGAAGCTGGGACAAGTAACAGGAGCTCACTCCGTTACACAGAGCTAGGGATTCGAACTGCCAAACTGCCGACTTTTCTTATTGATAAGCTCAGTGTCTTAGCCACTGAGTCACTGTATCCCCATCTATATACAACCAAACAATTAGTTGCATTTGATCTTGGCCTGGTTCAGCCATAACAACTTTTGTGGGTGTGTTTTGTTAAGAGAACACGGAACAGCAAATTGCAAGTATTTCTCCCTTTCTTTTTCCTTGTCCTATCAAGACAGGAAACGTTCATTTCAGGATTGAACTAATCCTAGATCCAGGTTTAACAGGGGAGCTGTGATTTCTTTTAATTTCAGTTTAAAATCAGGATCAGGGAACTCTTAGAACCGACCCTGTCTTCCGCTGTGACCTAGCATGTAAGAAGGTGCAAGCAATAGAGGCCAAGCCATCCTTTCATAGTTGCAGAACCAGAAGCATATGAAACAGCCCCAATTTGAAGAGAAGCTTTACTGGCCTGGAGAATCAATTATGATATAAAATGAAGGAAAAGTGAGAAGTTAAAAAAAAAAAACCTCAAGAAGATAGGAAAAAGTAAAATGTAATCAACAAGAAGAATATTAGGTATATAGCTATCCTGTAACAGCTGAGGGTTTTCTGAACTCTTGGAAACATTCCCGCTTCTTTCTAGGGAAACATGATTTATTTTTCTGTTTACATTTGGTGTACTTTACGTGTGCTCACATTGTGCAATCCAAGATTATATTCACCTCTCCTGATGGCCTGATAAATCTCCAGAGGCACGAATGCTACTACAACAAAGCTGGAAGAATGACAAGTTCCCAACAGAGATGCCATTAAGTTCCAGAAAAAAAATCTGATTTATGGACTGACCTCTCTATAACCATTCCTTCCAAACAAAAAGAAAGGAAACCATGGAGGTTTTTAAGGTACAATTAAGGGGTCAGGGTGGAAATTGGACATGCAGCAAGTAGAAAGCATCTCCCTTGCTTGAACATTAAGCAAAATTAAGTAAAACGATCGCATGCTATTCTGTGCTCAAACATGGAAACGTTTGATCCTACCTACAATGGAGGAATGGTTGGTGGAGATAATGGAACTTATTAAGATGGCTTAAAAAAAATTGTTTCAGAGGAGAAAAAAACAGTCTGTACATTTATGGCTGACTGGAAACCCCTTATGGACTTTTTTACATGAGACTGAAAAAATGTACTTATGATTTGTAGTTTTGATGATTAGATGATGGAACTTCCAAAGATGGCTAAATTATCTTTTTTGATCACAAAAAAATCTACATTTATGGCTTACTTGAAACCCCTTACAGAACATTTTGCATTAAACTGTCACTTATCTAATATCTGACTTTTCTAATACGGGGAAGTCTTCAAAACAAATTATACCACCACTAACACTCTGTCATGGATCATTATCATCTTATTTTAAGGCACATCTGGAATACAACAAGTGCATCAAATTCTGAGCTATAATTTAAAGCTATTCGCGTGCCTTTCTGACTGGCAAAACAGATTTGATATTTCTAGATTAATAGTCATTTTCCTCCAGTCTCTCTCATTCTCACACATACACAAATCTTATCAAAATGATGCTGGTGATTTTCTTTGCTGTCCAAAGTAGCACCATATTTAATTCTCTGGATGGGAAGGATGGAAAATTGACCTGCTTTTCTGAAATAGGTGCCTTCCAGATGTTTTGGGATGCAAATCCCAGAATTTGGAATTATCTGCAGAAAACTGAGGAACTAAACATCTAACACATGGAAAGTCAACTCTCTCAGCAATGACTCCCTAATATTAACACGTACATTTTGGTAAGAAAGGCACAGTAATTTAAATGTCTATGGAGATTCGCAATCATACAGGTTATGGTTATTGCAAAGGTGATTTTTTTTCCAAAGGGCAATTGGACTTTCTTGGGTTTTTTTTCGTTTGAAAATGTTTCATCCAAGAAGCTGAGAACCGAAATCAATCATCCAAGAACTGAAGCAGCTTCTTGGATGAGAAGCAAAATATTTGCAAAGCAGAAAAAAACCCCAAGAAAGTCCAGTTGCCTTTTGGGGGGGAAAAGCACCTTTGGGACTGTCTTGGGATTTAAATTTCTTCAATCAGTCTCTTCATCAATTTTCTGGCAGTCAACATTCATCTTGGATTATAATCTCAATATAATTTTCTGGCTTTAAAATGAAAACGAGGAAGAAAGCTTTGTTTCAATGTTCAGAATATTCCCCGGGCTACAACACTCAGAACATAACTGAAAAAGAAAGAATTGTTTTGTTCTGATCTTGGATCACACATCATTTGGAGCTTGGCATGTTGCCACGTCCTGAGTCTCCATTGATGTTCCTAGAGACGATGTGATTTGCTTGCCTTGAGACATCAGAGATTTGACTCTCAATTTAAGAAACCAGTTTTGAGGCGAGAAATGTTTGCCGAAGGCTTCAGGTGGAGGAGGCAAAATTCTTTTCCAATTTTGGAATCAAAATTATCTTCTCCCTTGAGGGGCTAGAGTCGTATCCCAACTTTCATCACCATCGCTTTCTCTTTCACCACAAGGTCCAGTTCATTTGCTTTAAGGGTAGTCAGTCAGATGATTACACATCAACACTGCTGGGCTTTTAACTTGTTAACAGGTTCTAAAGTTTGAAAGTCACCAATGTCATTTGGTGATTTTAATCATAAAGCTGACTAGAGACTAGGGTCTCCAACCTTGGCAACTTTAAGACTTGTGGACTTCAACAACGCTGGCTGAGGAATTCTGGGAGTTGAAGTCCACAAGTCTTAAAGTTGCCAAGGTTGGAGACCCCTGGGCTAGAGCATTAGCATGCAAAGCAACTGGCTTCTGTTCTCCAGTAATGTACATTTGAACCAATCAAAAAAGTCACATAGAGGTTGACTTTTTTTGCCTTGGCTGAATCATAGGGGAACCTCTGGCGAACATCTGAAGAGATTATTACAGGCAGGCCAATTCTTACATTCCAATTTAAACAAGCCCAAAGTTCTTATGCAGCTCAGCCTTCTTCCAAAGGAAGTCCAGATGTGCTGAGAATGAACTTCCCAAATTCCCAGCCAGCCTTTGAAAATTAGGGGAGCTGAAATCCAACTTTCAGATAAGTTGGACTTCAGCTCCCCTAATTTTACAATGCAGGAGAAGGCTGATTTGTCCCCTACAATAAGGGGACGTGGTGGCTTAGCAGTTAAGACACTGGGTTTGTTGATCAGGTTGACAGTTCAAGACCCAAGCACAGCGCGACAAGGTGAGCTCCCATCCCTGCCCCAGCTACTGCCTACCTATTAGTTCGAAAGCATGCAAATGTGAGAAGATCAATAGGTACCACTTCGCTGGGAAGGTAACAAGAGTTTTGTGCACTTTTGGCATATAGTCATGCTGGCCACATGACTACAGAACTGTCTTCAGACAACGCTGGTTCCTTCCCTCAACTAAAAAATGGAGATGAGCACCCAACGGACACAACTGGACAGGGGAAACCTTTTACTTTTATCTACAAGTAGTCCTCAACTTATGATCATTCATGTATTGACGTTTCTAAAGCAATGGTGACATCAAAAAAAGGGATTTATTTTTCTTTTAAGTCTCCCACCTCCTACCTCCAAAGCTGCCCATTCTGTAGGCAGAAGGTAAGCAAGAGATTGATGGAAATACGAGAAGAGCCGAAGGGTGAACCAAAACTGTCACTGACATCCGTGGTACTATGATGTTTTTAAAACAAGAATTGTGATTCGTAAAACTATATTTCAGTGACAGCATTTTATAACCCAGCTTTACCCTACCTGATACTCTTAGGACATGGCACATTATCACAGGATGAATAGGAGTTTGGGAGTCCAAAGTTATCTGAAGGGTATTATATTAGAGAACCTCGATTGTGCTTTCCAAGAAGCTTCCTCAACCCAATTCAGAGGTTGTCTGCCTGCATTCCTCAAACACAACACTCTTGTTTTTTTGATATCCTGCACTGGACAGTACTTGGTAGCTGAGTCTGTTGCAGCCTGACCAAAAGATCTGCATTGTTCAGCTCCCAAAAAATAAGGTTCATGAACAGTGCAGCCCTCTTCTATTTCCATATGTCAAAGAAAAACTGTTTCTCTTACCTGCAGAGTTGCAAGGATGCTTCTGCTCCAACAGTAAGGAATCTGAAGAAGGTTCAACAGGGCACCAGTTGTCACGGTTGATCTAAGGTAAAGAAGGAGAGAGGTGACAAATTAACCGAAATCTTTCCATGCAGCCTCCGTATTCTCTTTTTCTGTCTCAGTTCTGTTTTTATTGTTTTGAATGCTCTTGTAATAATTACTTTATCACGGTTTTAGGCCATGTTTTATTTATTTTACTCTTTTATTGGATTGTTTTCCACTTAATGTGAGGTGGGCGGCCATAAAAATTTGATTAATGAAATAAATTAATGAACTCTTATCTTGACCTGGTCAGACTTCACAAGACTTTCCAATGAATCAAGTAAATAGAATTTGGCTTTTTTTAAACGGCATATTAATCTCCAAAAAGTGATGAGGAACCTCAGAACAAACACTAATATTTGCTTCATTTCTTTTATGCTGAATTAAAAGCAGAATCAATATAATTCCTGTTCTGTTACACCTTTCATTCAGACACATTATGTAGAAACCTAACTCTTTGGAGAAGAAAAGAGGGAGGGAGGGAGGGAGGAGAGTGTCAGGGTAGGAAGGAGAGGAGAGGGAATGAGAGGGGGAAGGAGGAACAGATGGGGGAACAGGGAGGGAGGCAGAACAGAAGGATGGAATTAGACAACCAATAGCCAGGTGGATGACTGAAATACATCAATGAGCCATAGTGGCACAGTGAGTAGAGTGCAGTACTGCAGGCTACTTTTGCTGACTGCCGGCTGAGTGCAATTTGGCAGATCGAATCTCACCAGGCTCAAAGTTGACTCAGCCTTTCATCCTTCCAAGGTGGGTAAAATGAGGACCTAGATTGTTGGGGACAATAGGCTGACTCTGTAAACATGCTTAGAGAGGGCTGTAAAGCACTGTGAAATGGTATATAGGTGCTTTTGCTATTGCTACTTTGACGATGAATACACTATTGAGAGACCTGAAAGACCAGGTTAGGGACATATCATCCTGGAGAATGTGTATGTGGTCACCAAGACTCAAGAATGACTTGACGGTACATAATCAAATCATGTATACAATCCCTTCTTCCCTCTGCTGCCTATGTCACACTGCATGTTACACTGCCAATCACAACAACGCACCAACCTCTGGAGAAGGCAGAGCTTTTCAAAGGCCAAATGCTGCTCCACTTGACTCATACCTGCTTGGACCCTGAAGTCTTTACTATCACCTGCTATGTTTTAACCTGGAGAGGTGAAAGAGAGCCCTCTCTCCAGCTACTGCTTGAGTGCTCTGCTCCAGTTTGTCCCGGGTCATCTCAGTCCATACTTCCCTGCCAAGAATAAAGTCCTTTGCGGGATTCAAACTTCTGAATGCAGTTACAGCAGTAATTTCACCAAAACGGATCGGGGGGGGGGGGGGGGGGGGGGGGGGAGGGAAACAGATTATTTTTAATGTTAGTTCCCTTTTTAAACCCTGGGGTTTCATATTTCCTTTAATCATGTTTTAATTTAGCTTTCAGCGCGCAAAGGACATGCTATTTTTCCTGTTTGTCGAAAGCTGCCTCTGCATTGCACTATGTCCCCAATTCCAAGTTTCGACTTCCAGCACAATAGGCTTCATAAACCTTGTTACAAACCTACGGGCTGTATTCGAACGATCGGATAAACCTACTTAATTTAAAGCTGGCCCAGCTTTAAACAAGCCACAATGGCTGCATTCGTGTACAATACTGAGCCATGGTTTGCAAAACTTAATAGCTGGGTTCACTTATTTGCACCAAACTGCACTATGATCTAATGCAACATGCAGTATGAACTGACGGTGTGCAATCAGGACAGTGGTAATTACCAGTTCTATAGGAAGAGATAATAAGGAAATGAATAGGGAAAATGAAAAATAATTTCCCATCCAGTTTTACTAGAAGCATGCATCTTGCTCTAACAGCTCTTCAGCATCCAGGTTTCCTCCATCATTCAGCAGTTAAAGCAGACCAGAAGAGTGAATAACAGAATAAAAGAATAGAAAGGGACCATGAAGATCTTCTAGTCCAAACCCCTGCTCAAGCAGAAGATCTTGTACCATTCCAGACAAGTGACTGTCCAGTTTCTTCTTAAAAGCCTCCAGTGATGGGGCACTCACAACTTCTGAAGGCAAGTGGTTGCACTGGTTAATTGCTCTCCTTGTTAGGAAATTTCTCCTTAGTTCTAGCTTGCTTCTCTCCTTAATTAGTTTCCATCCATTGCTTTTTGTCCTGCCTTCAGGTGCTTTGGAGAATAGGTTGATTCCCTCTTCTTTGTGGCAGCCCCTTAAATATTGAATCAGTGCTATCATGTCATCGCTAGACCTTCTTTTCATTAAACTAGACATATCCGATTCCAGTAACCATTCTCTATAACAGGGGTGGTCAATTAATTTCTGTCGGGGGCCACATGGAAAATCAGATCTGCGTTCGAGGGCCGAACCAATTTTATAAAAGGCCATTATAAAGGGCCCATTATAAAATGCAGCAAATTATATATAAGAATATTATAGATATAGATATAGATATATAGATATAGATATAGATAACATATACACATACACATACACATACACACACACACACACACACACACACTTATAAATAATTTGCTGCATTTTATAATGGGCCCTTTATAATATAGATATATATAATATATATATATATTATATATAAGAAAAAATAACACCGCGGCTGCTCCTGCTACTACTTTCCATGCTTTCCAAACACGAGTCCCAGGAGACAACAAACAGCAAACCGCGCTCAGGGGCATCCAAGCCACGCCCAGTGATTTTTTTTCCGGCCCGTTGGTCTGTAGCCCGCGGGCTGTAGTTTGCCCACCCCTGCTCTATAAGATACTTTTAAAGCCACTTTTTTGAACCAACCACTTCTGCATTACAGGCATGCTGTCAAAATTGCTTTGCCAAGACCATGTTGGCTAGATATCATGGAAGTGGGGATATAAAACTTCTGGAAGGCATTGGGTCAGTCAGTGATGCCTAGTTTTGGCATTCAAATAACAACACGGTCGCATTTGGGCATTAGCAGGGGAAGTAAGTGAGACAGAAGTTACTTCAGCTCTTTGATTTTCATAAGGCAGAATTTATGGCCCAAGAACTATCCAAGCCAAAAAAGATTCCCACGTGGCAACCAAAGCAGCAGAAGGGCAAAATGGAATTAGGATCCATGACTTCGGACATTTTGAAAATGTTTTGCCAATGGTTTCGTTGAAGCTGGCTATGCAAGAAAATGGGAAAACAAATTGGGTGTTCTCCATAGGTAGAAAGATAAGGAAGGGCCATTTCTGTCATGAAAAGAGAAAGGCAAACTCAACTTCAGAGGTCAAAGAAAGTAGCAACGGGCTACAGATTCAGGAAGCCAAATTTCTGCCCCAATTTACTTTAGTGCCTTAAGGGCACCTGTACTAATTGGCAATGACTGTTAACAAATATGACCTACAATCATACCTGCGCAATGCCTACCATTCAGAAGGACGGAATTGAAAGCCCTGAGAGAGTGCGGGGCACAGAATTCAGCTACGAATGCTACCTTTCCTTCCAAAGAAGGACATTTAGGAATGCAGTGAAAAGCTTAAGCACCTAAGTCTAACCACTATTAAACTCTTGGATGGGTAAGGCCCAGGGGTGGGATTCTACCAGTTCACACCTATTCGCTAGAACCGGTTGTTAACATTCTAAGCAGTTCGGAGAACTGGTTGTTAGAAGAAATTACTGGCCCAATCCTGTAAGGAAGACAGGAAGGAAACATTCTGGCGTCGCTTACAGAAACTGCCTCTCCGTTAACCCTTATTACATTCTTGGCAGGACTAGACTTCCTGTCTCTGGAATGTCTCTGGAGTTTCTTTTCCCCTCCTTTGTTGGTACTTTGCTTGTGTGTAATGTTGTAATTACTGTTTGTAACATTCAAAGTTACAATGGCACTGACAAAAGTGACTTATGACCCTTTTTCACACTTACGACTATTGCAGCATCCCCACAGTCATGAGAGGCCAGGTGAGGAGATGCATGCCTCAATGTGAGTGATATTGAGTTGGCCACACCCAGCCAATAACATGACCACCAAGCTATGTCCACCCAGTCACATGACCACCAAGCCATGCCTACCACCTAAGCCACACCCACAGAACCGGTTGTTAAAAATTTTGAATTCCACCCTTGGTAAGGCCATAAAACCAGTGGCATAGAACACAATGTCTTCCCACCCGTGGTAATAAATCTGCATAACCTGGCATGATAAATCTTGCAAAATTAAACGTTCCTTTCTATACGTCTAAACTCTTTTCTCACAACAGAATCAAAGATAGCTGGAATTCAAATTTTTCAACATGGAAGACTGGGTCCCTTCTTGCAAACAAGGATACTTCTCCAAGTCCAAGCTCAACTGAACAACTTCTGATTTTCTGCAAAGCCGCAGCGTGGTTTGTTTAGTTTTGTTTGTTTACTTGTCACCACAATACCAAAAAAAAAAAGATCCAAGACTCTAGAAAGTGTGCAGAGAAGAGCAATGAAGATGATAAGGGAGGCTAAATCGTATGATGAATGGTTGAGGGAACTAGGCATGTCTAGCCAAGGGTCGGACAAGAAATAATGAGCGGAAGCTTGTTAAAGAGAGATCCAAACCAGAAGTAGGGAGAAATTTCCTGACAGTGAGAACAATTAATCAGTGGAAATGCTTGTCTCCTGGAGTTGTGGGTGCTCCATCACTGGGAAGTTTTCAACAGTAGATTCTGCAACCAATTGAGCGGAATGGTATAAGGCCTCCTGCCTTGAGCAAGGGGTTGGACGATAGGACCTCCAAGGTCCCTTCCAGCTCTATGGTTCCATATTCTACGTATAATAGAACCAATCCTTGGGTTCTTTTCATTAAATTCCATGAAAAACTTGCTGTTCCAGTTCAAAAAGATCTAGGAAATGATGTATAACCTCTCCCCTCCCAGCCTCCATTTTAGACTATTCCCCATTCCTCTGAATTAATACATCCAAGCCAGACTCTGTGAGCCATTCCGCTGGCTGCTTTCTTTCAACTGCTTCTTTCTCTGCCAG